GTAGGCTGGTTTTGAAAGATAATACAAATTGTTATGCCTAACTCGTCCACAAGGGAAGTAAACTTATTGCGAGTCCCTCATATGAAACCATATGCGAGCATCCCATCAATACATAAGGAACTCTTCACTGGCCCTTCACTAGTAATGTCTATAATAATCCTTGCAAACTTAGCTCTAGAGTTGGTTTATGTTGTGTAGTCTATGTTGATTGTTTTCCTCGATATGTTTCCTATTGCTCGTAAGAATACTAAGATGATACCATCTAAAGAAAGATTACGAAACCCGACCCACATCACTCGCTCTTCGTATTCTATTGATCGATGCTTTGAAAGAGTGGTCTCGTGGTTGTAGGGTCAAATAATGACCAAGAATAGTCTAAGGCCCGCCACCAAAGTATGCGAGTAGTCCTTTTTTATAGGAAAATTGGACTAGAAAAACTCATTTTCCATGTCTATTACCCGAAATGCTTTAGCCACATTCCATATTGTTCAAAGTCTAACACACATGGCTTTATACCCTATATTTCGCTTAAAGACCTTTACTATCACAGGCGACTCCTATGGTTTTTAACAAACGTTCCTTAAAAGATCTAGACAATTTAATGGATTGAACCCGATCCTTTTCAACGACGGTAATGTCTCCATCTTCCACCATAATCTCCGTTATGGACATCCATTCCATACGTTTTGATTTTTCGACTCTAGTCCATATGTCATTGCAAATTTGAAATTCAATCCTTTTGAAGGCATCGGTGTGTCATTGCAAGTTTTGAGATTTGGATCTTTTTCTTGTATACGAACTTTCTTTGTGGAATGCTCAAGGTCAAGGTTATTAGGATTGTCGGATCCTTTAGTTAGGAGAGACGAATGGGATTTGGTAGAGAGCATTTTTTAGATGTTGTATTTTCTTCTTTTATTTATGAACTTTTTTATTTAAGAAGAACATTTATTGTGAATTGTTTTAATGATAAAAATTAAATTGCTCGAGGAGGATAATTGTTGAATTGCAAAGGAACTAAGGTAAGAATAATCAAACTCACCACAATGACTTTATAAGTGAATATATTATGTAATTAAATGAGTCTTTAAGTGTATTTTTATGCATTTACATCATGAGCATAGATTTACATATTTCATGAAATGCATTGAAATCATGTTATGCATGAAAGAAAATTTTTTGGTGAAGGCAAATGGTAAATGTAAGGTTTGATAAAGACATAGTTTTGGCAAAAGAAAAGAGGACTAGACATAACGTATAGCAGAGTACCTCGTAATACATCATGAAAGTTTATAAAATGTAATGCATGACCATACTTATTGGGTGTTAGCTCATCTTTTGTCTTATGTTATAGTTGAGGAGCTTTTGTCTCACGAAACTTCTATATACGTTGATGATGTAGTCGATACACTTTGAGCTCACTCTTGTGTCGGGATTATATTTTTATCTTTTTGGCTAGTCGGTTGTTAGGTTTAAGTGGTAATCGGAAGTTAATTATATACTTAGCTTTATGATATTTTGTTAGTTGACCACTTGATTTTTAATGCTTATATTTCAAATTCTAGTATGTCTATAGTTTTATGTTTAAGTAAATATGTTTAGTTATGAAAAGTGTTAAAAATTTGAGATTCCATACTTTATATATTAAGTTATAATCCTATTATAAAATAGTAGGACTTTAGTTATTATATTTAAATTTTATTTGATTTAGATTTTATTTACAAGTTTGGATTTTTATTTTATATTTGAGTAAAGTTATGCTTTACGTATAGCTTCCTCCCACTTACGACACTATAATGTATGGATCCGGGCGCAGGGCGCTACAAGTTATATAAATATGTATTCTAATACTATAATGTTTGGAGTAGTTTTATTTAAGAGATGGTTTAGTGGTAGACCAAAGGTTAGACGTAATCGATGCTAGTTTAACTTAAAAATTCATAGATTTAATTTCAGTTGATGCTAAATCTGATCCAAAAATACTCTTTTACTTGTGTGTGTGTGTGTGTGTGTGTGTGTGTCTATATATAACAAATCCAATGCTAGGTAATTAATAAAAGATCAAGAATGTTTTGTTGAATTCTTTGCTTTGGATAAAATCATATATTTTTGACATTTAAATAATTAAATTATTTGTCTTCATAACTTTCTCCACAAGAACAATTTTTTTTTTAAGAAACACATAACTAGGATCTGTAAATAGATTGTATCTTGACTTAAATTCAATTTGTTGTAATAAAAGATATTTGATAAATGTTTTTTTATCCAACTCTAATTATGATCCAAATTTGTTTATTATATGGATTAAATCTAGATCTACCTTGTTTTGATGCAATAATAATTTGATCCAAAATTAAAAATAATATATATGTGAGAGTATGTTGAAATTTAAACTTTATTTATTCTAAAATTCAAATAATGCATATCTTTCTAGACGAGTATATTTTTTTAAAAAAATTGCATATAAGTTTTTTTATCATTTTTTTAATTCAATTTCATGAAAAAAATAAATAAATTGGCATATATACATTTTCTATGCATGCAAGAACTGCTCATGATGTTCTAACTATTTCAACAACTATTTTTGCTTTTGAAACCGCATTCGGTATCATTATATTTCTACTTTTTTGTGCATTAACTAATTATTAAAATTATTGTTTACTTTTTTTTTTAACGTGTTTATCTATATATTTTTTATAATAAGAGCTGTTGGAGAGTTGAGCAATGAATATATTCAAAAGTGATTATCCATTTATTTTAAACTTAATGGCAAGAATCATTGTACGTGGAATTAATTTTTAGATCCCGTTTTAATATTAGATATAAAAGTATAATTTAAACTAATTGATATGATTAAGGTAGACAATAGAATGTCTTGCATGAACTTTTTTATAATATATATATATATATATATATATATATATATATATATATATATATATATATTGAGAGGATGTATAACTAGATGTAAGAATTTGATACTATAAAGTTTGTATTATTAAAGAATCGACCCAAACAACACGTGATTGTATATTTCCTTTGAATTCGTTTATTTTTCGCAATCCATCCTAACACCGATATTGCTAGTTATAAATAATAATAATTTCTTTTCACATCATCATCATCCACAGTCGTCATCATGTAAATCCACAACAGCTCGAAGCCTTTGGGCATCGTGGTCTGTGTCATTGCATCATAATTTAGAACACCAGCAAATTAATGATTGAGAAGTAGGAGTAGAGAACTCTTGAAGGCCCCAATACAGCTAGGAAGCCCATATCCTGTCCATTTGATCATATATTCTGCATGAAATGCCAATTAAGTGCTTAGTAATCATGAGGATCATATTTCACATGCTTATTATCCTGATCAGACCAATTCGTACAGACATGGCTGATATTTTTAAATGACGCCCACCATTAGCAATTTGCATTGCCCAAAAAAAAAAAAAAAAAAAATCAAAGCCAACTCTGCTCGTGGTTGACATACTTATATTAATTTGATAATCGATCCCAAAGCCTCTTAGAGCTCACAATATAGCCAGTCAAACCCTGCTCGTCTTTTTAAATAATCCAAACGATTGATTATTGAGCGATCACTTGAATCTAAATATAATTAAATTAGCAATTTGAGATACGGATTAAACCAAGAGTTTAATTGAAGTATTTATAATTAATTTAAGATGGGGATAGGTTACTCTGAATAGCTTAGACGAAATGATTCTGCATATATTTCTTACGATTATGTATCTTATTATTTTATAGCACAGAGAAAGACATGCTGCAAGTCAAAGAGACATCTTTCACGGCATATTCCATATCTAACAAAAACTCCGTCAACAGGCACCTATACATAACTAATTACATTCCCAAAATGATCACCTGGACTATAGTTAATTGGCTGCAGGAAGAATCTTGATTTTACTCTCTTCTAACTATTTTACCTTTAAATTTTTTGTTTTGAATTCTTTATAAAATAAATTGGCAACAACTACCACAATTTTGAAAATTTATTTTGTTTGGTTTCAAAATTTTTTTACTTTTTTGAGAATTGGAAAATAACATTCAATGAAAGAAGGGAAATCCCTCGTTACAAAAGACAGACAGAATTGGGGACGTCGCCCACCCAAATTCACTGAAGCAGGGAAATCCCTCAGTTTTTACATTGTTGAAGAAAAAATACAGACACGTACAAAACTGAATTTAATCCAGTTAAGTGGATTTGACATTACCCAATTAAGTGGCCGTTTCGTCATTGTGTTTTTTTTTTTTTATTATTATTTTCTTTTTTCATAAAAAGTTTAGACCGAAAAAAGAAAACGGAAAAAGTAAAGATAAGAGAACAAAACAGAGAGACAGGCGGCACTGTCAATCTCTTAAGTGAAAACATCAGTTTTAATTCACTGATGAAGACGATTTAGATGTTACCGTTCGAAAACAACATTTTCAGAAGCTGTCATATCCTAAATGACAAAGAAAAAGCAATCAATTAAGAATTCGGGGTCAACTGAAGGGACTAAGGAAGGAAGTCAATGTCTTGTTGTACTTGTTGTCAAGTGGAAAGCGTGTCACTTGGATGGAAGTAAATTCCGCAGAACCACAGTTAGGCGTTTTTTATGGTTGGATTCTTCCAAGTAGCCTTCCTAAAAATAATGAAATGAAATGGGTGTGCTTCGTAGTAATTTGATAAGAAATGAAATGGGTTTGGCCTTTTGTTCTATGAGTTCGATTGAATTCTATCTGGATGCATATGGATTAGGTAGGGTGTCTAATTCCAGCTTGCCAAATGCCAAGTGGTTCTAATATGAAAGTGTGACACCCTTTTACATGTAAGTTTACTGTCCTGAAACTGCAAAGAAAAAGGGGCTCAGGCAGAGTGTTCTTGTAATCTTCATTAAATTCTATTTCTTTTGAATTTTCCTTTTGGTTTTGTATTTTAGAATAGTTGTTTTGTCAATTTGTATTAAGAAATTGTCATTGGGTTAGCATTTAATAGGAACTAATTTATTCAAATCTGGAACCAGCACATCCAGCCTCCGGGCCTGAGTTTTGTCCATTCATGATCAAAGCCTTTATGGGTCTCGGTTGTGTGATTGCATAGAAGCCTATTCAAATTTATACAAAGATAGTACCAACAACAAAATACACATATTAATGGAGATTTTCATGTATAATAAGGAAAAAAAAAAAAAAAAAGAGCAGATAAACAGAATTTGACACAAATAATATAGAGACAAAAATAGGTTGCAAAAATAGTCCACCTAGTGCTAGCAGGAACATTTTGGGAAAGGATTCTCATTATCTGCTAAATTTTAAAGTCTTAGCTAGCTTTATCCCTCACCCCCTCATCTTAAATGAGAAATTTTACAGTAGTCCAGGTGGGAAAGAGACTTAGAATCTCAACAAAGTCACGGCTTCTCAAATCTGAAGTGACAAAAGTGGATTTTGTACAACAATAATTTCAAATAGAACTGTCACAGCCCCACAATCGATCTAAGATAATGGAGAATAAACCAACTGTCCAAAAGATCAAAGTGAGAACGTCACACTAGATTTTGACTTGCACTATAACATGTCATTGGTAAGGTTATGACTCAAAAGAGAATCTACTTTTAAGGTCGTGATTGTTGATGTTTTCGTTAGGTACAATGGACCATTGTAGTCTTTGCGGTGAGATTGCCAAGATTCGTGTGATAGAAGAGATAAACCTTCAATTTCCCGACTGGCCAGGTGCATCTTCCAATCCATTTTGTGAAGAGACAAGAACAGAACAGGAGTGCTCTAGTTGTTTATCACTCGGACAAGTTATCAGTCATTCAAGATAGAAGTCACTCTTTATTCTTTTAAAGATCAAAGGTTCTAACTGACCTCAAAAAAATTAACATATATTCCACGTTTGAACAATGATTTCAACATGTCTGTCATTTATTCCATCGTTTGGTAGAATTTATTTAAGCATAATATAAGGTAGGAATATCGAAACATAACATTCAATAAATCACCAGCACTCAATATTAAACCATAATGCGAGTAAAGGGAACAAGATGAAGTGGGGCAAAAGAACGAAGAAGAGGAAAAATGATAGTTGACTCATCTGTGCATTTTAACGCTGTGATTAAAATACAATTATATCCAACTAGGATCTGAGCCAAGGAAATCACAGCCTCTTAATATTTGAAGAGGAGGGCATCTTTATTTTATGCTAAGCTAAAAATAGTTGCCACTTGCTAATCTCCTTTCTTGATTCTCCGCCTGTGAGATTTAACTCTTGGACCCCAGAAATCCAAGATAGCTACTTTTGCAATCTTCCACTGCTTCCCATCTAGGACAGTTGGCTCTTTTTTTCTATCTCTTTAATGGAGGGATTCCTCATACTTTTACACTTAAAAATGACTGGAAAAATGAAAATGAAAGCCATCAGCAATAAATTGTCACGTTAGCCAAATGTAATGAAAAAAGAAAAGCGATGCAATGGACGTGACATTGATATACAGGGCATTCAAGTTGAAAGTATATAGAACAAGGAAAGTAGGACATCCCCCTTATGTTTGTATGAGTTCTGCTGTAGAGTGTAGCTTATTAGCCAAACTCTAACCCAATTATTGTAAACATGATCAATCCAAGAAATGTGGTGGAACTTAACAGAACATAAGATTAACCAATGATGCTTACGATTACCATTTATGGACAAGATTTTGATAATTGAGAGATGGGCAATCGTACTTCTCATCTGCAAGCTGATAAAATATTTATTGCTTGGTCACAGGCTTGAGAGTGTCCTTACTAGTTTAGATTGTGGACAAAGCATGTGAAGTTTTGAGAGAGAAACCAAAAAGGGAAAGGGCATCAAAGTTGTCGGCTAGACCAATAATTGTTGGAATTTCCAAGCACAGTGGCACTGTGGGATGAATGTAAACAATATTAGACATCATCATATGCATGGACTACTCCTATGTGATGCTTATTGGAAAACCAATTGATCAGTTTTTAAGCACTGTGTCACTTGGAGAAGGCAGTATACAGCAGAGTTAGGAAACACCAGGTAACTTTAAATGATCCCAAGTTCTATGTCTTATTTCAGGGTCATGTCTGGATGCTGCCACTCACAACCAAGACTAACTAAAACCTTAACACACAAGCACATATGTGAAAGTGTAACAGTACAGAAGAAAACAATATTAAAAAAATCAACTATCAGAATCTTTTCGTAGCATCTTTTAGACTTTCTATGCCATAGATGAATATGACGAATTTATTGTTAGAAAGACTGCTAGCCAGTGAGCTCACTTATCAAGACACATTAAACCTCCTAATCTGGTTCTTCTTGCTTCTAGAAAAAGGAAATGATAAACGATGAGAAGGAACTGCCCTAATGTAAAACCTCCATTAAGATTTACAATAACAAATAACTATTGGTCTCCTAAAGCACATTCTCTACTATAGAAACCTGAAAGCCTTTTAGAATATTATTTGTCGATAAAATAACAGGTATGTACTCTGGGAGTATTGTGGAATGCATATACCTTGATTTTAGGTGGAGTGGCGCCACTCTTAGCTGTAACAGTGCTCCCAAAGCCAAACTTTGGTTTCTTCTCTGCAGGTCTCAGTATTTGGAAAGAACATACTAGATTCTCATCCACACTCATCATGGCACCAGCATTGTCAAACTCTCCACAATAATTGGGAGCTGAAAATATGGTTACGAGTTGCCTATCAGCAAAAAACTCATATCCATCTTCTACAACCTGCAAATATGGCAAAATAAGCTTATAATATACGAAAGCATTCCCACCAGGAGAACTATATGATTTTCCCTAGGCCTTAACGTAGTAAATGGTCAATTAAAACTCATTTCATACCTGATGGGCTCGACAAAGTAGATCAAGGTCATGCTTCTGAAGAAATTCTGTAACCCTGTCAGCACCAAATACATAGGAAACTCCCCTATCACTTTCATCCCAACCTTGAATGTCTTCACTGGGATCAGACCAGAGGAGATCACATAACAAACCAGTCTCTGGAACAACTGAAGGTCGCTGTAATTTCCTTATCTGATCCAAATTGCGCAGTTCAGGAGAAAGTCCACCATGCATGCAGAGAATCCTTTCATCAATGAGAGCGGCCACAGGCAGGCAGTTGAAACAATCTGTGAAAACTTTCCAGAGTCTGACATTGAATCTTCGTTTGCACTCGTCATAAAATCCATATATACGGTTTACGGACGCACACTCATGGTTGCCCCTCAATAGGAAAAAGTTTTCGGGATATTTAATTTTGTATGCAAGAAGAAGGCATATGGTTTCCAGACTTTGCTTACCACGATCTACGTAATCCCCCAAAAATAAGTAATTGGAACGAGGAGGTAATCCGCCATATTCAAAAAGCTTCAGCAGATCAGAATATTGTCCGTGTATATCTCCTGTGTGACATAAATATAATAAAGTACCAGGCACGTGAGAATCACTTCCCTAACAACTATAAACAAACTTTCTTCTTGCTTCTACATTTTAACTATATTATCTCATTAATTCTTGGCTATGATCCGACTTCATATTATTCACAGAGGAAAGGAATCCTCTCTCATTATCTCAGTATTTGTAAATTGTAACCATGAAGGAGAATGAGATGAGGCATTTCAAATTAAAAGGAGAACGGAATTTCAGAATATCTTAATGACAGAGCTGCCAACAAGTCGATATTCATGATTAACCTCCACTTACATGTCATCGCTAGGTGCATGGGCAAAAATGTGCTTCTGCAAGTGATACCAGACTAATATTGACAATTATAGCTGTGAATGATCAGTTATGATGAAGCAGCCCATACAGCAGCATCTGAGTAATTTAAATCTCACTGAACTGAACTATTTATTATGACACAGCTAGAACTCTAGGAAGTAGGTCCAGAAGACAAAATGGAAACAAAAATGGGCAGTACAGATCTAGCAACCACATAAGAGTGACAAACTTGAAGATGATTATAACTCCCCAAATTTTCAGAAATTAATTAACCATTACTAAACTCGAAAACTCCACCAATATTATTATACACACATATCATGTCCCTAGAGTGTCATTGTAAAATATATTTTTTTTTTAAAAAAAAACAATATTAATGGAAAATGTTCATCAAATATGACAACCATAGGCAACCAAGAAACTATTTTCTCTGTTTTCAACTTTCATGAGCTCACAACAACTAGAGAAACACTTTAGTTTTCTTCTACCGAAACTAGCCCAAAATTTTCACTGACTTGCCTAGAAGTAAAACAATTCATGAGCAACCAGGTCTGATTTTGTCCCGAGTCTCTAATATTCACTACTAAATAAGAACTAACGAAACTTTTGGCAACAACCTTCCTTAGATAGCCTGATATTTTATTCAAAATGAATGTAAAGGAAAATTCTGCATTCTGGCTGTGAATCTGAAATATGTCTGAGATGTCCTGTCAAGTAAAAGGATAGTATGATTTATATTCTTGGTGACTGATGAATATACATTCAAGTTCCAGCGCATGCACAGCTCTTAGAAAGGGCATTGAAGACATTAAAAGACATTTTTTGCCATGCTATCTTTCACCCTCAGGCAGAGAGCTATTTCTCATATCAGTTGCCTGCTTTCATAATCTACCAATTCCAAAAAACATCAGAAGGTTTAATATTAAAACATCACCTAGCATCTCATTTTTTTAGTGCATATTGTCCAGTGAGCCATGTGTGCTATGACAACAAAGCAACAGAAGGGATTATATTCAGATATGAAAATTTTCAATCATTTAGCAATTAGATGAATGCATTCACTACTCTAGCCATGAAACATATCACAAGATCAACGTCAGAAAATGATGTTACATCAGAGTTCAGGCAGTTGCCTTCATTGATTGCAAATGCAAAGCATCCAATGGAAGATTTCTGTAGCTAAACTCCAAATAATTTTAATATTGGAAAGTGATTAATGTAGGTAGTATGATCAAAGAGATTTTTATGTTTCCGATTAAAACAGAATACAAGTATTCAATAGAACCCACAACCAGAGTAGATTTCGCAGCTAAAAGTAAGGAAATAGACATGATTCTATTTTGGTATATTTATTTAGTATTTAAAGGAAAAATAATCACTGTAAATGCTTTCAACCCATTTAACCACCAAAATCATCTTTTCAACATTGTGCATTTCAGTGTGTCCAATTTAATCAACATCAAGAGCACCTTTTTGATTTGGAACTCAACAAAAGAACATGGTTTATTTCAATTTAAGCCAATAGATGCAGTAACAAGTACCATAAACTTAGAACATTTTACAGACATAAGAATTTGTTCAATATGCTTGGTTTATCATACTAAAAAAAAAAAAAAAAAAAAAAAAAAGGAAGAAGAAGAAAAGATACTGCATGCCTATAAATATGAACATAATCCGAACAAAAGTAAAATAAAAATACATATACACACCCCATCAAGAAATTGCAACAAATTCAAAGCACAACAAATTTCGCAGTCAGTAAACTTATAGTATCTCTAAATTACCTCTAAGCCTTGACACTAACCAAATGAAATTTCAATCAGTATATACATAACAAACCCACTTGACGTAACAGTCTACTTTGTCTGTCCGAAAATGCAAAATTGAATTTAACATTATATATATATATATATGGTTGTAAGAAAATAATGGGGTTTATAAAAGGATATTTACCACAAATCTTGATAGGGGCTTCAAGCTCTAAAAGATTAGGCTGCTTCAAGAAAACATCCCTTGAGGTGATGCAAAGTTGCCTAATTTCAGCCTCAGAAAGCTGAACTTGCTTCCCTGGTTTCCTCCTAACTTCAAGCAGCCTATTAATGATTCCATCAAGAACAAAAGGCTCCATTTTTTTCCTTTTTTCCTCTGTTAAGTCTTCTCTTCTATTGTCACCCTTGAAAGACGAGAAGAAGCACAAAGATAAAAGCAAGAATGAAGAATAAAGAACCACCAGAACCAACACAACCAGCACTACTAATAGTCTAACACTAGTGGTGCATGATGTTGTTTCAATGTAGGAGCATGGCTTTATAAAAGGTTGAAAGAAGATCAAATGGAATATGATCCTTTTTGGGGTTTGGTTTTCTTTGTAGTGGAGTAAAGAATGAATGGTGTGTGTGAAGTGCAGAATTTTGAAAAAAAGCCCAGCAGGAATATATTCTTGTTTTGATTAGAGAAATAGAAAGCAAGTAGCAAGTGTTTGAGTAGCAGTAAAGTAGTAGGTAGGTGAAAATCGACCCCGAAAAGCTCCTTCTTGAGGGAAAGAAATGCTGACCGAAAAGCTCCTTCTTGAGAGAAAGAAATGCTGATAATGGCAGCGATCGTGACGCTCGTTTTCTTTGAAAATTTGCAAGCGGGGCAGCAGGCGGTAACCACATCAATGACGCGCCGTTTGTGAGGCAGAAAAATACATTTATAGAAAAAACAATTTTGAAAAAGATACTTTTCGTTAAGTTATATTTCAAAAAAAAATATTTTCTGATATTTGATAATTATATGAAAAAATAGTTAAAAAATATATTACAATTTTTATTTGATATAGAAAACTGAAATATAAAAATATACTATCATAGTTATATTAACAAGTTTTAAAAAAATTTCAACAAGACATATTCACATTATCACAACATAAAATTTATTAAAAGATCTCATATCCATAATAGTCTATACACAAATTATTATTTTGATAATTCAATTAAGAATTCTTTTCTTTGAAAATTTAACCGATAATTTAATTAAAAAATATTTTTACAAATTATTAGTTATCATTTGTAAATAATTATTCATTTGTTTTCAAAAGATTAATGTTAAAATAATTTGTAACTAATTATTGACTACAATTAGCAACAAAACTTTACAACTAATTAAAATTAGTTACAAATTATTGATTTAATTACAAATGAACAATGTTGAAAAAATAATATATTTATTAATGAATTAATTAATTTTAAAATTTTCACAAATGATTGCAATATTGTAATAATCATTTTCAATCATTTGAGTATAATTTAGGTAGTGTTTCGGATAATGATAAAAATAATTGAGATAAATTATTAAAATATTTATTATAAAAATAATTTTAAGGTGTAATAATAATTTTTAAGAATATTTAAAGTATTTATAAATTGAAAAATTAAATGTTAGTAGAAATAGAGAAAAATAACTAAATAATTAATAATAATTGATAATAAAAAATTAAAAATTAATTTGATATATTTTAAATAAAAAATACAGAGAAATAAATTATTAAAATATATCAAAAGAGATATGAGTAATGCGAGGGCGAGATAGCTCGTGAGAGAGAAATGTTTTCTTCTCTTTTAACCGAGAAGTCACTTTTTAAAAAATAATTTATTAATTTTTGTTTACTGAAAATCAAATCCTGTTACTTTTTTTTCTAAATGCAAAACAAAAAAAATAAAAATAGAAAAAATAAGTTCTTGGAATTTATTTTTCCTGAAACAAAGACAACCCAATCGAAGCGATTTTGCTATTTTTGGAAAGTGATGCTGGACCATTGTCCATTGCCACTTGAGAGCCCGTCCATAACTCCATCTCATCTCCCTTTTTATGCTTTCTATTTGGGCTGAGGAATTTGAGAAATTGCTAATTTTTGCTATCAATAAGAGTTGTTCATAGGCCTTGAATGTATATTATCCTAAGCCCACCCACACATAAAGGGGCTCGAATCACATGCTGTCGACGAAGATCTTCAAGGCCACATAAAAGGGCTCGAATCACATCCTAGAGATAGAGATATGGCCCCACAAGTTGCTGTCCATAGGAAAAATGAAGACAAATCCAAAGCTTTAAATGGCCACCGATATTGGCAGGCAGTTGAGCAAAACATTACGGTGTATTAAATTGAGCTCCTCATTGTGCCCTTAACTGATTGAGTACTTTTGTTACAGTTTAGCAATATTACACCAGCTATTATTTAGTAATAACTAAACTTGTGGTAATCATGCTCATTAGTTTGCTCAATTTTGGAAGGGAAAATGATTTTGAGTGCTCTATATCTGCAACATACGCAACATGAAGCAGCTACAATGTAAAATGTTCAAATCAACTTTTGCTTGCAATTGTAATGTAAGTGTAACTTGGAGCCTGCAGATTCTAGAGAAAAGAAAAAAGATTATTAAAATTACATCTTTCTTCCTCACACGCTATAAAATGTAAAACCAGCTTAACATTTGCCCCAATTTTCCAATTTTTCGGCTCAGTGGACCTACTTGCCCCCATCACTTTTATGTTTAACCACAAATTAAACTTACTCTTGACTTATTTCTACAATAAAAGCTGCCAAATGTACGTGGAGAAAAGGTCCGAGACTACTATAAAGCGGGCAGCACTTTCTTCTGATTTATCACCACGAGCAGCCTCAAAATGAATATTGCATCCTTGTTAGTATTGTTCACGGGAGTGGTGGTTTTAACCACTCCCTCTCTCGCAGATTACTACAAACCGCCTAAGTATGAACCTAAGCCACCTTATTTGAAGCCTCCTAAGGTAGAGAAGCCATTCCCAGAACACAAGCCACCAATTTACAAGCCACCAATCTACAAGCCTCCAAAGATTGAGAAGCCACCAATCTACAAGCCTCCAAAGGGCCACCTTGCCACGAAGAAGCCACCAATCTACAAGCCTCCAAAGTTTGAGAAGCCACCAATCTACAAGCCACCAAAGATAGAGAAGCCACCAATCTACAAGCCTCCAAAGTTTGAGAAGCCACCAATCTACAAGCCACCAAAGATAGAGAAGCCACCAATCTACAAGCCTCCAAAGTTTGAGAAGCCACCAATCTACAAGCCACCAAAGATAGAGAAGCCACCAATCTACAAGCCTCCAATTATAGTGAAGCCACCACCTTATCACAAGCCATTGCCTCCTTATGGTCACTATCCAGGACACCCTGCAGTTGAAAATGCTGAATATAACAAGCCAAACAACTGATCTAAACTTGATATGAATATGAAGGACTATCAATAGCTGAAAATAAGTGTACTGTTGCTGAAGCTCAGCAGGCTTTGAGCTTGTACGTCTTATATATATATATATAAATATATCGGATCAGTTACTGCAAGTGAGCAATGCTCTCATTGAAATGTCTCCTTTTATTGTAATCGATGAGCATATCCTAATTCAGTTCTATAATGAAAACCAGTTAATTTTATTTGCGGGAATATTAATTTAAGTATACTTGGTGAGCGAGCGCAAGAGGGTTTTGAATGTTTGATCATTGTTTAAATGAACCTGTATATACATATGGTAATCCTTCGCTCATTAAAAAAAGAAAAAAAGAAAAAAAGAAAAAAAGAAAAAGGGTTTACCATTCCTTCACAATCATGTTACTATTTATTTATTGTTCATCTTAACTTGACATTATTATGATTTTGAACTTTTATTTAGGTATTTAATATGATATTTTTGTGATTTTTGACCTTTATTTAACCCTTTGATGTACAAGTTTTAGCAAATATTACTCTTTAGTTCCTAATTTTTTTTGCTAAATTAAACTTTTGTTCCAATTCCTAATTTTATTTATGTTGCGATTTGATACGTTAACAAAGAGAGAAAAGAGAGAGAAACTCGTGTCGAAGTTCATTTTAGCCACTTTCACAATTGATCTTGGCTTCGATTTGTTTATTTTGAAGATCAGAGTTATTTAGGATTGTTTCAAAACATAAAATGATCAGAGAAAAAAGATCAAGATCCTCAAATACTTTTGAATTTTTAAATTTGATTTAAATTTTTTGAGTTTTTTAGGTGTATTAAAATAAGTTTTAAGATTTCAAATAAGTTTTTTTTTAGCTAATTTCAATAATTTTGAAGAGGTTTTTTTTTAAATAATAATAATAATAGTTTCAAAAAGTCAAACTGTGGTACATCTATTTTTTGGCGATTATAGTTTCGCCAAAAGTTGTAGACGACTTTTTTTGTGAAGGACTAGCCTGTGCGTGTCTAGTTCATACACGCATGGGCCTCAGTTATCTAAGCCCAAATGTATAGGCCTGACATGTGCAGGCCAACTTTATTATTATTATTAATTTTTTTTTTGGGGTTTTTTTTTCTTTATTTTGTGCTTAAATTTTGAGAAAAAAAATGATAATTATTTTTTGAGTTTTTAGCAACCTAAAAAGAGAGAGAAATATTAATGATGCGCTTTCATATTTTAAACTTAACATATATTTCAAACCATATTATTTTTATTATTTAAAATTTATCTCTTCAATTTGTTCTTTTTTTTTTTTATAAAAATTCTCATCCAATTAATTTTTATTTTTCATTAAATTTTATTTATTAATATGATTATTTTCTTTTATTTTATATATATATAGTTGATATGATGAATTCTTACAATTGTTAAATGTGATTGTCATGATTCTAAATATATAGGTTTGATCTAAAGGCTAAAGTATATTGCAAAAAAAAAAATAAAATAAATAAAAAATAAAAAATAAAAAATTCTAGAGTTTTTGAAAAAAATAAATTTAAAAACAATTATTGATAATTAAAAGTAAGAAGTGAGAAAAAAAGGGAGAAGTGATTGTTAAATAGAATCTATGTGTTTTATTTATTTCTTATTCTATAATCAAAATTTATCGAAATCAATTTTTTCAAGATTTTTATTAGAAATTAACTATGCATATATACACAAAAAAAAAATGAATATTTAATATTTTTAATGGATGTTATGAAATCAATTTTTCTCAAATAAAATAATTAAAATTATGTTTAAAAAAAACACCTGAATGTATCATACTTTTTGGGAAAAAAAGTATGTTAATATTATCGATTATTTTAGGATATACATAAGCTAATGAAATACTTTTAAAAAAATAATTTTTTCATCAATATTCAATAAGGAAAATTTTTATTTTAAATTTTTATACAATATATTTTTACATTAATTGTTGATTTATTTTTTTTATGCAATCTTGTGAAAAAAATATTAATTTGTTTTATTTTTTTTATTTGCGATTAATCGAAACTTGTTTTTTACGTTATTACAAATTTTTATTGAAAAACTCATGCATAAGGAAAAAATAAATCATTTTTTTAGGATTGAAATCTATTAAAAAAACATAAGAAAGAATTAATTAAATACAAAATTTTGATTAAAAAATTATAAACTTAAAATTACCTTTGATTTGGATATATTTTATTAGATTTGTAGCATGACAAGGACCATCAAATTAAAATACTTTTTCAAATAATTCTGCATGGATGTTCTATACCATACGCTGCATAGCACGAAGAAACAGCTAATAAAAATAACTAAAAAGACTTCTCACAAAACATTGTTCACCAATAATGGTGTCACTATTCACGTACTGTTCACAATGTATTTTTTGTAGTTTTCAAGATTTTTAATGTCGTTTCTAATAAAAGTTTTGACTTGTTTCACACTTCAGTTCTGAGTGGTTTCAAAATTTTTATTTTAGTTTCCAACTTTATTTACATCACGATTTCATCTTTGGATGTAGAGAAAATAAAAAAAACAAAGAGAGAGAACATAAAAGAGAGACAGTTATGGCAAAAACCATTCCAGCCACAAAAGCCGTAGATATTGACTTCAATATGTTCATTCTTGAATGCAGCATGTATAGTTCAGGAGAAAAGGCTGGCTTGAAAATGATTCTCACCGCCAAGATCGTTGAGAATTTACAGATATCATAAGCTCATTAATGGAGTTCAGCCAGAAATGTTGATTTTGTCGAAGCGTTATGGTCCTACGTATAATTAATTGTCAAGCCGGAAGAAAACTCCAGTGGCTCTTAGATTAGACTTACAAAATTTATCCTCTCCCTCCACCGAATTAATTTGTCTGTTCGATCGAGCATGCTCAATAATATTGGAGTTGCTTGCAATTGCCCCACAGTCGAGGTCCTACAGATAACTGTAAATTTCAACATTAATTGGGAAAGCAATAGTCCACAGGACCACAACTAGCAAGCTCTCTCTCCTTGTGTTGCATCAACTATTTCCATCTGCTTCTTACACAAACTAAATTCAACACCTCTTATTATTCGCTGTTTTTTCAGTACTGTTTGATCAGATCGATACTAAAATGCATGGTTGAATATTGACGCATCTATGGATCCTAAATTATTTGGTTCAATGACACTAGATTTCTTAGTGATGTCTATTTTTGATAAATTAAGGCATATATTTGTAGGACGCGTATGCTTTAAAGCTTAAGCTCTCCAATACATCTCATGTTCTCTGTGATATACATGCTAGACCCGGGAGCTGGGTTTCTTAACTCTTGGTGTTTTTGACATTTCAGTGTATCAATGGCTTATATTAAAAAAGAAAAAGACTAGAACAAACAGAGAGATAAATTTCTTGTTTACCTACATATGTAAGTGTTTTAACATGCCGCAGGTTTCATTTTATAAAACCAACTTAACATTTGCCCCAATTTTCTGATTTTTCGACTCAGTGGGACCTACTTGCACCCATCACGTTTATGTTTAACAACAAATTAAACTTGCTCTTGACTTATTTCTACAATAAAAGTAGATAAATTGTTGGAAAGTTTGGAATGATGTTGAAGAAGAACAGAATTATGTAGTACTTAATTACGTGCAAAAAATACATCACACTATCCTTAAGGTGATTATTGCCCTCACTATAATAGTGTAGGGATTTTAGCAATTCACCTCTAGGATACAATTTTGCACAAAAGGAATTGCAGGCAAGCACTCTCGAAATTCCTTCAAGAGAATATCTCTTAAAGTTGTAGGGTTTAGAAGGAAAAGAATTTTGAGATGAGAGGAGGATTGCAGAGAAAAATTAATTGATTTTGTCCTATGCAGTGGTCCTTATTTATAGATTATTGATATCCTTTTATAGCATACGTGATTGTTAATTCCAACGAGTCATAAGCTGTTGAATTCTAACAATCATAACTATTGGATTTAAGAGACATAACTAACTATTGGATTTAAGAGACATAACTCGTTAGATTTTAAACAATAATAACTATTGGATTCTAAAAGACATAATTGTTAGATTCTAACAGATCACAATTCAACAGATCATAACTATTAGATTCTAACGGACATAACTCGTTAGAGCTAACTATTATGTTTGTTTGAAAACTATTAATAACTAACTAACTCGCAATAGAAAATTAAAAATACTTTTAAATTTCCTTCATAGCACACTTAACTTATTATCTACCATTCTTAAGTTTCTAACAATCCTCCACTTAAATAATAATGTTAAGTCCTTATAATATCACGCATAAAAGGAAGATGTCTCTCGACTTGAATCTCCTTATAGTGTAAATATCTCAAAATCTTAATGGAATAAATGGTATCTTAAACGATTAAACCAATATCCCTTGTATTAAAATTGAAAATATCACACACATGATCTAATCCAACTTCTTTTAGAGATTCTCAAAAATCTTTTAGCACTTATATGGCCATATGCTAAATCCTAGATTTTCATAAACATTTCCAAAAGTCGACCCTTGAACTTTTGCCAGGAGCGACATCACTCCTTATGTTTATATAGGTGAAGTTCCTATTAAGTTTTGAATATATTGGTCATATTTCATAACTTAATCCTCATTAAAAGTTTATAACTCATCCTCCAAACTTTATTAGTACTAGATAACTTGGAATTGAAACATAAGTGGAATATCCTAGTACTTTTACAACCACTTATTAGTAACTTGTTTTTAACCATTGAACTTTTAATCGGTGATGATACTAGAGAAAAGTTGGGTTTCTATTACCGGTGACTTTAGGAGAAGTGGTCTTAAACCTATTCCAATTGAAGTTTTTCTTACTAAATCTTTAATAAGCTCTTTTGTAAACGGATTCGCCAAGTTGTTACTTGTTATTACATATAAGATTGTGATAATTCCTTCAAGAATTAATTCTTTGACATATTCATATCTCAAACTTATATGTCTAGATTTTTCTATTATATATCTT